ATTAACGTCATAGCTGGTTTGGACTTGGAAGCTTCAGTGATCAAGCGATGACTTTCATGTGATGTGCTCGTCGCAGTGTAAGAATTTGTTGCTGACGACAAACGCCATCCCTGCAACAATCATGGAAGTGGACAATGGCCCGTTGGAAAGACCCTCTCTTCCACAACAAAGGGTGCCATCCACTTCCATGATTTCCATGATTGTTTCAGGTGTGTTTTCAGGATTGATGATTTCCATCTCGTTCCTCAAATCCATTCTTCCAAGCGGGTCTGTTCACTGGAGAAGCCTTCCAGTCCAAGGTCTGCCACCCAGCCAGGCAGAGATCGAAGCGGAGCCGTGGCGAAAGGAAAGACATGTGATCGGAGTGGTTTTTGGCGTCGCGAGCAGAAACCAGGGGGATTTGGAATTTCCACCAACAAGTACCTATACCTTCCCTGTGTGCCCCAACCCCACCCTGGTAATGTACACAGTGATCCTATACCCCAAGTATGACTAGAATGAGCTGAATGATCCCGAATGTAAGTAGAACTCTTCCAGTCCCATGGATGCTCTGGGACCATGTCCTCCGAGCTCCTGTCCTTCGAAAAACGGGTCAGCCTTCGGGAAGGCGGTCGTTTGGACGAGAGTCGGGCGTGTCGGACGAGCCTTTCGTGAGACTCGACAGGAAACTGAAGGATCTGTCAGAAAAAGTTCAATCTCCCTGGAAACCTCCAAGGCCCTGAAGGGGACATGACAAGACCGTTTCAGCACCCAACCCAGCTTTTTTGGAAGGCAGTATTGGGGAGCGGGAGATGTGGATCAGAGGCCGACCATCCAGCCCTCCTTGACAAAAGTGCCTGCTTTTGGAGCTGCCTGGAAGCGGTGAGCCGAGGAGAAGATGGATTTCATCCAACAGTGTTTTGACAAGGGCATGACCGAGGTGCACCCCAGTCACATGGGGCGGGGCATGAGCCAATCGGCGGGGCATGAGCCAAGGGCCGGATCGACCTGAAGCTTTCCGCTGTGCTGTGGTGCTCGCTTTCAACACTCAAGTCATCTCAAGTCCGTTGGACTTCTGGTTCATCTCTTCGGGGGCACCAGCACCCCCCCCACATCCAGATCACTGGGCGTTTTTCCATGTTCACCGGCCTCGACCGCCTCGACCGCCTCGACCGGGGTCTTGCTGCAACTCTGGACGACGGTGCCAGGACCAGGTGTACGAGGCCTTGGATCAATACGAAGCGCCGCTGCGCGAGATGACAGGCACCGTTTTTTTTTTTTTTGGGGGGGGGGGCGTAGGACTTCCGGCGTGAGAACGGGCGTTTGAACACGGGGTGCGTGAACTCTTCTCTAACCACGGGCCGTGCGGACGAAAAGGAACGGGCGCGTGAACTCTTCTTGTGTGCGGAGGCGTGAACTGATCATGACGGGTCGACGGTGACGTGCTTCGAAACGGGTCGATCTCGTCGACCAACCCGGTTCGCCTTGGTCGACCCGGAGAATGACTCGATGTTACGACAAGTGATGTGTGCTGATCCTGTCTTCGGGAACTGGGCAAGGCCGGACCGGTTCGTAAACCACAAGACCCCCACTATTCAGAAGCCAGAAAGTCGTACTATACTAATTATATCTAATTATAGTGGCCTAATCATGGCCTAATCATTGTGAAGCAAGCCCTTGGTGACGGCTTCCAAGTGTTCCAGGCGGAGATTTTCAAATTGCATCGCGGTGACTTGTGGTTGATTTGCTGTGTGAGACTTGTTTCCTTTCCACTGATCCGGCTCTACCAATGCAATAATGGAGGCCATCCAGTTTCAGCTTGCACTTCGGCTTCTCTTCAGAAACCTCGTCTTGGGGTAGCCTATGGTAGCGTACGCCACGACCACATCCCAACCACCCGAACCCCCCAGAGGGTGCTCCAACCCTTCTCCCTCGTTCCGCGCCGAACGGTGGCTTTGGGTTCTTCTGCGTTCGAGGCTTGGAGCAAAAGGTGATTGAAAACAACACACTGGCCGACAAGCGTGCCCAGAAGAGCAAGATCTCCGATGCCTTGGTCGGGAAGTTTGATGCCGAGGAGAGAGCGTGAAGTATACAACTCAGAGGTTGAGATTTTGAAACCTGGGATTTTGGCAAGATTGTTTCCTTCCAAACTCAGTTAAAGTCTGCTAACCAAATCGGGGCTGGAGATGCCTGGGGTGTGACGTCTGAAATCCGGAATTTGCAGGAGAGTCGGAGCGCCTTCCTCGAGAGCCAGACCCGTGCGCAGCAGGCGCGCGACCGGAACCGGTGCGGTTCCGGCATTTTCTGAGCGGCGCAGACGCACCAAACCTGGCAGGTTTGGCAGTTTAGCAGGTGAGGCACTGCGAGGGCGCTTGGACAGCGCAACAAAAGGACCCTGGATGTGTTCACTGGATACTTGGGAGTAGATTGTAGATGATGCAAGCGCCTCAAGTTGGAAGGATGACTCAAGAGAAGTCATCAGGTAATGATCTCATGTGACAGAAGTCGCCCGGCCGGGGCACTGGAAATCTCAACTTTTCCTGTGGCTGCCAGCTGCATTCTTTGCTGCCGAGACTAGTTCCCGGTGTGCTTCTGGAATGAGGCGACCTGGCTGGCTGTAGTCGTGATTGGCAGTTGTTGAACTTCTATGAATCATCAAGTTGCGATGGTAACTGCACAGAAGAGAATCAATTCAAGGACTCCTTGATTACCCTCTAGGGCCTCTTTACACATCCTTTTTGACAGCAGTTAAGTCCAGGATCAAGTACTTCTCGAGGGTTCCTATATAGATGTAGAAGAGCTGGAGGATAAACAGGATCAAATAACTGTCAGAGCCTGTGGGGGTAGCTTGGATGCAAGCTCCTCCGAACGCCTTTCAGAGTCGTCTCACCGGATTGTTCCACACCACCCCGGCACGAAGACGTGGCCCGGCGGAAGAGTCGGGGCACGTGCACTTGTGAGTCTTGGATGCCGCGTATGGAAGGCCAAGTCATGGCCAAGTCTTGGATGTTCATAGGACCAGTCATCGGCTGCAGACTTCGTGCGAGGACTGGTCGTGGTGGGTTAGCCAACATGGCTTCAAAGCGCGGTCGTGCTTGTGACAGCTTGTGCCATCGACATGAGGGTATATATATATATATATACATATACACACTATAAGACGATACAGTAGTATATACAATCGAGAATGCGAGGAACTTTCCTAGTTGTTTCTCCGGATCACGGTGCAAACCATGTGCAAGGTGGGTTTGTTCACACCGGGCAGGCTTCTGCGTAGCAGGCCCTGCCCCTTGCAATGGGCGGGTCCATCGGAGAAGGACGACAGCGGGGACAGTGACATTTCTGGGTCACCGGGGAACCCTTCGTTGTCCCACCGAACATGAGCAGAATCGGCGACCAGACATGGGCAACCTACCAGAGCGAAACGGGCGGATGAAATGACCCACAGCTAGCGCCGCCCTTACCGTTGGATTCTGCACGAATCAAGCCGTCCACCATCCCTATGGCTAGGTGACACCATGTCAAATGCGCATACTGTATATCTTGAACTGGGGCATGCCAATTGCCATATATATTAATATATATCTATCACCTATATATAGATACTGTAACACAGACTCATGCAAAAGCTCTCAACCATTGCGATCCATCAAGATCCCCTCCCCACTTGACGGCAGGAGATCAGGAGACATCAGGACACTAGGAATCGGGATAAATCATGATGAATCGAGTGCTTGCGACATCCAAGACTGATGCGCTGAATTAATTAGAACCTCCGACTGGGGACATCTCCCATGACGAAAAACACAGAGAGAGAGAGAGCGCGGGGCTTTGGGGGGGATTCCTTCGGGGATTTGGTATTGACCCTGTTCTTCCTGCAGCCTTTGAAGCATTTTGAGCACGATCATCCTTGTCTTGACCATACAAGGGCTCATGACCAGAAGCAAGACAAGAAAGACATGCTTATACGTATAATTATTGAACTTATTAACTCCAAGGCATGGTTGATTTATGAAAGAGAGGATTTCAGAACACGTCTTTTGGGTTCCGATGCCTTTTTGCATTTTCTTGCTTTTGTGGAGAGGTGATCGAACCTGACTGCCCACCCAGGCAGTTGGACCACCTTTTTGTGTGGCTGAGGATGTGTTGAATACCTTGAATGGCTTTGGCCTGGGTGCCAGCGACGTCTTCGTCAAACTTGTGAGCTGCTCGGAGGACATCTCAGGGTGAGAAACCGTGTCGGTCATCTCTCCACCATGAATCGATTCTGTCTTCTAGAGCCCTTACACGCTCAGGATATCTGAGGTGCTACGCTGCTAGGGGCCAAGTAGGGGTCAACAACATCTCTTCCTACAATAATGTAGACTCTTGATTAGTTCAACTGACCCATTTGAACTGGAAATCCTTTTCATTTGGGTGGTTCATTCATCAAGAGTCTACATCACTCTAGCCTTGACACCAGTTCCTCAGACCTAGAAAAAGGGGAATCCAGTTCCTCAGACCTCTTGGACGGTCCTCATCTGGACTGTCCACATGTCGCACCGAACTCCGTTCCTCAGCTGGCTCCCAAGATCCCTTGGGTCGCAGCGTCGCATGGTGGGCTTTTTTCGCAGGGTTTTCCGAACATCTTCAGCTGTTTGGGACCTCACCTGGGTCGCAGTACGCTCAGCCCGACTCCAGTCAGGGGCGCGACAGTCAGCGGGTCCCGGGCGCTCTCTCCAAGGCAACAACGCCGAGCTGGCCAGGACGGTGCAACCTCGGCGTCGCGTGGCCGGACAAAGAGAACCCGTGACCGATCCAGTCCCCACCCTGGCGGAAGTATTGGGAGAAGCCCACCAGGAAGATGGGGCTGGTTGATGCTTGTTTGAGGGCGAATACCTTTGGGTCGTCTACAACCAACAGGTATAATGGTAACTGGACCCCTCTATTCTTCCCATCACTGAACCCCGCTACAAAGAAACAGAGCGAGGACCAGTGCGGAAGACATGTCGAGAGTCGCCAGATCTGTGGTGTCGGTGGTGATGTTCTTGGTGTATGGAATCAACCGGTTTGCAAGTGCAGAACTTGTATATCGTTTCCTTTTTTTGGTGGTTGCTCGTCCATTGGTTTCTCTTTCTGGACTGTCTTCGACGATCCACGCTCCACGCAGACCCTCCAGGCGCCGAAGTCGGCACGACCTTGGCGCCAGGACCATTGACCGTGGGACTTTGCTGAAGCTTTTGGATTTGATTCGGCAGTTGGGTCCACTGGACACCTGGTTTTACTTCTTGAAGGTGAAAGCCTTAGGGGTCGGAAGGTCGGGCCGAACGGGAGAGAAGTGTGGACATGAGTCGACCCAGACTTGGGAAGACGAACCATGTCATTCCAAGGTTCTAGTCAGTGGATGTGCAAAATCATTCGCATATATTCGTATGAAATTCGAGTCGATCGGGGCCCTCCCAGAAGGGAACAATCAGTGGACTTGGAACGACCTGGGACATTATATATATATATATTATACGTATATCCAGAACCTGAATGACCTCTATTTTGGACCACCAACCACCCCAAATATGGCCTTTTCCTATCAAAACAGGGGTCAATTGGGTTCCAGGTATATATATATTATTATATATATATATATATATATCAATACTATAAGTGGATCGGGGGTGACCTTGAATCAGATCGGAGCCCACAAGACTGGACCAGTTGGGTGTTGGATTCAGCTCGTGACCGGAAATCGACCGAAAAAAGCCCCGACCACATTGGTAGTTCTTTGATGGACATTTCATGGGTTGACCTCCCTGTTGGGGGATTTACCATGCACATCCCAGTCGCGACGCAGCAGCGCGCAAGAACTCTGGTTACAGACACACGGACACCATTGATTCGATTTTTACCATTTCGCGCATAGCGGATGATGACATATTTTCCTCATAAGGAGGTAGAAGAAATTAGAAGAAACATGAAGAACACACACATCTATACGTATATATATTTATAGAGTGTATATATAGTTATATGAACATATACATGTTGAATGATCGTAGCAAATTTGTGACAAAACGAGCTGATCAGCATCTACACGCGTATTTTGTTTGCAGCCTTTGCAATTGACAGGCTGTGTGTGCTCCTTTGCAGACCGCGTTGCCCATCATGCAGCAACATGTGTTGAGGCAGAATGCCCGCGGGTGGTGGAGAGGCTTTTGCTCTTTCTTCTTTATACCCTTGCATCATCTTGTGCCACTTGTGTCTTCATCTTCGTCTTCATTTTCAGCAACCTCGTGCGCTCTCGCCCAGTCGCTGCGGATCACGCGGGGCGCCCTCACCCTCGACTCGCGGGCAGGTGTTTGGTCTTCGGCGGGCAGCGGTCGCTGGTCGATGAGGCCCACGTGGCGGAGAAGAACAGGACCTGCTGTGCGTGTGATGATGATAGTCAATATACTATGTATAGATCCCAAATAGAAACCCACTACAAATGTATTGGATACCATTTCTATCTATTTTGGGAATCACGTTAGTAAGTGCAGGGTTGAAGGAATGATTTGTCCTAAATGTATGTGCATACACATACAAACCGTAATGTCAAGACCCGTAACCAAGAAGGTTGGAAGGTCTAGGAGTCTAGGACCTAGAGTCTAGGATCCAAAATCATGCAGAGGGATCCCAAAAAAGACATCTGAGCTTCTGATGAGCCATCAATGAGCCAGGATGAACACCTGGGGCGTGTGGGAAGTGAATGGGGGAAGCGAAGTTAATAGGGAATAGGCAATAGGACCTGGTGAAAATAAAGGGGGTGAATAAAGGGCCGTCTTGCGGGTTCCTTTTTGCGCATGTGGGGAGGCTTTTGGTCTATACTGTATGGCTGTGGGGTCACAACCCAAAGCCTTACAAAACCCGAGTTCCTGGTAATCAGCTTGACCGCCCTACTTCAGTCCATTCGCTTCACGTTCGGTGGTTCGTTCGGTCTTGGACCCAAAGACCCACCGGTCACCAGGACGGAGCTCTTGGTCTCGGTGCGGCTGGGACGTCCCACGGGCACACCGCTGGGACAACGTTCCACCCACATCACCCCCTTGGAGAAGGCGAGCCCCACGCACTGAAGCCACCACGCACGGGTTAGACGGAGGATGCGAGGACGGGTTAGCAAAGGCCCAGGGAGACAGGGTCCAAAGGTTCAAACCGGCGGGGACGTGTTTACCGGACACATGCCCGCCGACTGCGCGAAGCCATCCGAATCCTGCATCCATTTACCAATGAGAGTGAGCCCTTATAATTACCCTTTCAAGGATAAAATCACGAAAGGTAGCGGTTACGCTACCTGAGTTTTCCTTTTGCTTTAGCAAAAATGTATTAACCCAGAGTTGCAGCCTATCTCACGGAGAAATGGTCCCCGACATCTTCGTTTGCTGGCTGGGGGAGGGGGGCCCCCCCTCCCCCCTTCAACTCCACCCTAGCGCGCCTCGGGGTCAACGGTTCGAAAACACTGTAAATACCAGTGTTTTTTCAGCTCTTCCAGTCCTCAGCAGTGACCAACAGTCATGGAATTTACAGTGTTTTTTGTGGCTGTCCGGCAAAAAGCACCGCAAAAACCGATGGTTTTTGATGCGTCTCGGTTAGAAAAATGACCGAAAAAAGACCAAAAACCAGGAAATATTTTGTTGGAAAGGGCTTTTGAGGCTTTTGGAGGCTTCAAAATTGCACAAAACTATGGTATTTACAGGGTTTTGTGCACCTTCCCGGCAGAAAACGCCAGTATTTACATGGTTTTCTGCGCTTTTCCAGCACTCAACCGTGGTGCGCCTCTGGATCGACGGCTACAAAGTACCGTGAATACCAGTGTTTTCAGCTCCTCCTGTCTTCAAGCGTGGCCTTAGACCTTGCCGCGGCTGTGGATCGACGGCAACGAAACCTCGTAAATACCAGTGGTTTTGAGCACGTCCTGTTTGCAACCATGGCCTGCGGCCACGCAATTTACAGGGTCGCCGCACGTTACTATGTAAATCCGAAGTTGCATTTGAGAAATATGTGACTCCTTTTGAAGGCACGTCAACCTGTATTGAAACCGTGCATTAGTTTTTCTTTCATCACGCTCAGTCACTTCTCTTCTAACAAGTGGGGGGCCTCTCACCTCCTCCCGGATTACGCCTGATTCCCTGCTACCTTTCGTTCACCCCCCTCCTCTCTCAAGTCAAAACAGCTTCCACTGGATCAAAACTTGGGACGGACACGCCAAGAACGGTGTCGCTCGCAACAGAAAACACAAAGGAAGGACCTCAACTGATTTTTGCTCGGGAGGGAGCTGAGCCGGGGGCACCCATATTTCGATTTCCCATGAAACAGGGGACCAACAAGGTACAGGGAGTTCCCCTAACCCCTTGTTATACCCTAAGAATCCTCTCAAACACATAACTTTAGAGGGCCCAGACCCCTGCCATGGAGGGTCCGACCCCTGCCATGCAGAGCCCAAGGATTGTTAGGGTAGTAAAGAACACTGACTCATGCGGATGCAGCGAGAAATCCTCCGGGGTTGACTTTGGCAGTCCAGAGTCTTCCTCCGTGCGTTCCTTCCATGGGGCTCGATAAGAAAGCTAGGTAAGGCTCCCTAGAGAAGACAGCTCGGGGCAGGGATAGGACAAGCGAGCTGGTGACGAAAGCAGCTGAAACATTTGCAAGCTGGTCTCAGCCATGTAGGATGTGTGCGCAGTTACTAGGCACTGGTAGGATGTGCCAACTGTCAGCACACCTCAAAGGTGTCCTGCACCGTCTTTACGTGGCCCCTAGCATGAATTCTGTCATGATCATTTAGAGGAAGCAGGGGGTTTTTCTGTGGAATAGATGTAGCAATGTAGCAGCCTAAAACCGCAAAATCCTCAGCAAAGTAGACTCTTGATCAATAAAAAAATAGAATACCACCATATGGTCCACACAAAAGAGGTTGTACAATTCAAATGTGGGGAGGGGTTATTGAGCAAGAGTCTACCTTCGCCTCGTCCCTGGTCGGCTCGATCTGGGCCTTTTCGGTCCGTCGCTCGGAGCCTCGCGTCCAGGTGCTGGGTCATCAACTGATCACGGAGGGTCTCTGCGATATTCTGATCTCTTGGACTTATCCCAACAGCTCCCTGAAGCGGAATTCATGGGTGAAGCCCGGACGCCGTGACCAGACCCTCGTGCACTTCGAACTTCCACCGAAACGACCGAAAAACAGGAGCAGCGAACTCGACCTCGGCTGCGCAACCGAGCAACCCTAGGGCTGCTTGAAAAACACCCTCCCGATGTTTGAGTCGCAGACAGCGAACTGCTCGCAGACAGCGAAGTGCTTCCGTTTCGTGAGATCTTGGATGCCTCCCTTCGCTCCGAAACTCCGCGTTTCGCCACCCCTCAGGCTGGGTTGCTGGGCAGGGCGCCTTGTTCCATGGGCCTGACGCCTTGGGGTTGAAGGTGGTAGAGTTCCACCAAAACCGCGCGTGGGCCCCTTGGCACATCTGGAGTGATAGCGAGGAGCAGGTATATATTTCTTGTTCTGATTGTTTTTTGTTGGAGTTTGTGGACTGGTTTGAATCAATCAAGGGGTCGAGGCGAGGCGCACGTGATAGTTCGGATGCCGGCAGGGTCTGGTTGATTTGAGGATGATTATATAGATCACCTGGGAAATAGTCCCTCATTAGAGCTCCTTTTCGAATCCCCCCGGTGGCCCTTCACCAAAACGGTGTCCCATTTACCAGCCAGGGTCCACGCTGGAAACAGCCCACCAGTCATCACCAGTCCGGTTGAAGCCGGTCGCGCAGGTGATCTAAGAAAGCCCCGCTTTGTATCCAAACCTTTGCCTTCAGAGTCCTTGCATCTCAGAGTCCTCAACTACCAATCCATCTGGGCCACCGCTGTGAAGCAGGGTCACGAGTTCTTCGGTTGAGAGGTCCAGGTGCTTCGGGACATTTCCAGCTGGTTCGGAGGTGCCCATCGATTTGCGAACTCTCGTTCAATCATATACTCCGACCCCTGTATGTCCAATCCTCCGACTTCTTGATGCGCAGGGTTCACCGTGCGACCCCATCATATACGGTCCTCCCCAACAGCCCTCTAACCCCTCCATACCCCCCATGCGTCCGGAGCAGCGCGCCGTTGGCCCAGGTCTCGTTATGCCATTTGGCGTGGGTCCTTCAGCCTCAACAGTGCTGTGCCCCTCGACCGGTACCGGGCCCCGATGGGCCGGGACAAGAGAGGGGAACCAGGGAAGGCTGGGGGTGCCCCCCTGGTTGATTTGAAAGAGGAACATGGGGGGTCTATTTGGACTGACCTTTTCCACTTTAGGTCCCAAAAAGGATCCAAAAGGTTGCTGGAGATGACTGGGTACATCATGCACATGGTTCCATGACTGACGCCAGTGGCGGGCCGGGCATATGTTGATTCTAAAGAGCATCATCCATAGAGCCTCATCAAAGGAACTGGTGCGAGCGACCCGACCGGAACGAGGGTGGCAGGATTTCCTTTGGAAGCTCTAATGTGGGCAAAACGGACCTTGTTCCTGATTACTGTCTATAACTAAATCTGATGAATGAATCACCAGTCAGACAAGTTGGCAGGGTCCAATGCCAAGGTTTCGCCCACTCTCTCTACGCCCCGGTGACACGTCACCTAAAGAGTTGGGTCATCCATGTTACTGTAACGATTTTATGACTAGTTAAATGATATACTTATATATATACTTATATATACCAGGACCCTCCAAGGGGTGCCCAATGGAAGCCTATAGGTAGTGTGGGTTGTCCATTGGACACCCCTTGGAGGGTCCTGGTACTTATTCGCTAGTGTCGTGCAGTTGCCAAATGACCATATGTGATCTCCATTTAGCCTGGTCAAACCGGCAGCTCTGGAACCGGCAGCGGACTTTTGCCAGATGTGGGTCGTCATGTCCGTTTGATTTAGCTAGGGTTCTGGCACCCGCTATTGAAAGGTCCCCCTATTGAAAGGACCGGCTGCCGGAGCCCGGGCGAGCCGTTCCTAGTAGCACATCGACCTCAAGCAGACTGGCTCGTTGATCGCACGACATGCGGCAGTCGTACGGACGCAGTCATCGTGCGGGGACACTGGAGTTGATTGATCCGTTGGTTTCACCGGTGAAATTCGAGTTTCGCGTGCCCGGTAAGGGGAAGAAGACCAGGTTTTTGGGAGGGATCCGGTTGGATTTTTTAACAAGGTGGGTCCTCTCTTCGATCCATGTCTATCATCTTCATCTTCCGTGTCCCTTTTTTCCTTCCAAGGTGTTTGACTCGGACCAAAGAAGAAAGGAATGTGGGACAGGCAGAATCCACAGACCCACCAGGAAGCCTCCACGGGCATCACCTGGGAGGAGATGCAACGCAACGACCAGCCCCTCGGTCTGAGGCGGCTGACTCAGACTCACCTGAGTTACAGGTAGAGCCCCAAAACGGTTATATATATAGCAATCCTGAAGTACATAGAATACGGAATTGGAGGTCCACACCCTACATGGGCATCTTCCGGAATTGAAACCGAAACGGGACTTGGAATATTTTGCATCTTCCGGAATTGAACTCGAAACGTATACTTGGAATACAAAAACATCTTCCGGAATTTAACAACATAATGTACTTGGAATCTCGTGGATTGTGAACACTTGACATCTTCAGGACCTTTGTATCAGTAACCTCTTGTTGCAGCCATTCTTGCTGCACAAACGCCTAAGGGGTTAGAACTGGGGTTGGAACATCGGGCCAAACAGATGCAAGCGTTCCAGATTTGCATCGACTGCCAGAAGCGGACAGTGACGGATACCGAAGGGTAACTAGTTCTGATGTGTATAGTATAATTAAGCACTCAAGGGTGCCAACCGCTGCAGTGGTGGCCAAGGAAAATGATGCTTGCTCTTGGTTTCCTAAGAGCATCTTCAGAATTGAAAACATGTGTGACATATTCTAAGTACATGGCCGACGGTTGGACACAGAGAAGCATCTTCAGAATTGAAATATTCTATGTACCGTTTGGGTCGGTATATTCTATGTATTTTTATTTGTTTTTTTGGCCGCGGAATTGAAACCTACCAAAATTCTAAGTATTCCAGGATCGTTATATATATATATAGATACACACTTACACCAGTGCATCGGGGGCAAAAGAAAAACCTCCAAACCAAACCACCCAACTACTGCCCTTAGGCCCCACATAAAGAGAACAAAGCAATCATCAGTGCACCAACAAAAAGAAAGAGGTGGAAGTAGTTTACATGTTACAAGCTTAACATCTCTTTGGAGGTTGTAGTAGAGTGATGTGACATGAAGATCAAATTCCATGAGAGATGAGAGTTAAGATTTTCTTCAGGTCGAGCTGCGTATTGACGATCAGGATCCTTAGACTGATTTCTGTAGTTCGCAAAAAAAGGGACCTTGACCAATATAAGACAAACACATTTTTTGCTGCAGCAGTTAGAAGCAGCTGGAACGCGTCCAAGATCATCCAAACAGCAACAACAACGACAACAACAACACCACCAACACCAACGGGTCTGTGATATGGATGTATATGGTGGCAACCACCCAAAGAGGCATAATTACCACTCAAAGTCTAAAAGGGTCTATTGTTTTGCTTCACTTTCCACGGGCACTCGTGGGATGCCCGATGCCCTTGTGCGGCAGGGGTGACAGGGGGGGCATCCGGGAGAAGAAGCTGGTGGCCAGGTAGAGTTGCACGACGGATTTGGGTTGTTCCCAGGTGGTGCGGTCGGTTTCCGAAAAGACATCATCCATGAACCAGAGGCCTCCTGCTGAGTCAGAGGCCTCCCCCAATGCCACCTGCTGAGTTTCACTGTGAAGTCCTCCATCTGAACACTGAGCATTGGAATCCTGTCACAGGGCTCCCGGCATCCACAGTTCCCTTTGATGCTTAACCATGACCCACTTTATAAGTCTTCATATTTTGTAGATTGTAGATATGAATATCAATAGACAATACACACACAATATACATACACAGATACATTTGTACATGCGCATAAAAGTAGTAATAATAATAGCAATAAGAATAACAATATACTAATAATAACAGCTCGGTCTGGCATGGTTGAGCTCTTGGCAGAGGTTTCCGATGTTGTTTTCTTTTTCGTGCTGCGAACGGCGAGCCAGACAGACGATTGGACTCTCTCAAACACATCACCTGAAAGTGGATGGCATGGCCCGCAAAGGAAAGACCATGACCATGACCAAACAGGGACGACACCGGCAGTTGGCTCCGGGCAGCTGAGGTCCTTACTGGAAGAATCGAAGTGGAACACGAACGACGCCCAGGGCTCTGGACAGTCCAAGCTCCAACTCTTGCACCTGGACCGGAACGGAGCGGGTGGAACACCACGCGTTCGCCCGGACGCGGACGGCGGGGAGCGGACGGAGGGATTGGGAGCGGACGGAGTGCGGACGCGGGAGCGGCCATGAAGTCAGGACCGTAGCCATGCTAAAAAGCAACACATCCGCCCGCAAAGGACGGTTTTTTGGAGGAAAGGGCTATTTTTGGACGGTTTTCGCCGTCAGCCCTGAAGCACCGGAAGGTGTGGGGGTTCCGGTCCTGGACACGTCCCGAGTCCAGGACAGCGTTCTCCTGGACTCGTCATGCCTGCACTTCGTCCTCATGCAGGGAGGCAGAACATCAACTCTAGCATCGGCCAGCGCAGTCTTTCAAGAGAGGAGGGCTTGGGGCCACGCGCTGGCGAAGAACTTTGATATAGCTTGGCCACTGCACACCGGAAGCCAAAATATTGATTGCATGCTTTGCTTCAAAACCCTTACACACCCTGGAACTCACATGGAAGTGGACATGGCCACTTGGAAGACGACCATTTTAACCTCTACCAACAGGGGGGTGCCCTCCGCTTCCATGGTAGCTCCAAGGAGAGTAGCGCGAACAAGGGGAATCCCGCCTCTAAGGAAGACGCTGGCCAAATACTTCTTGGCACAACTGCGGTTGCTGGACGACATGGTCAAGGCCGACACGGGGCGAACGAGCGAGCGCGTTGGGCACTGTCACACCTGTCACACCTGCGAGTTGGGCCGAGGCGGCCAATGAATTGATGGACCCCCCCCAAGCCTTTCCGCACCTAAGACATGGTTGACCTGGTTTTTGTCTTGGTGAAATCCTTGGTAAACCATATGGTGAAGCAAAGGTGAAGCGATGTGAAGCCACCGGGGGCCCATGGCCGCCCTTCCGGACGGTCCACCGGATCAGATCGGGCGGGGCGGAGGGTGTCACGGCCGAGGTCCGGTCCAACCATCGGGTGTCATGGTGTCTCCCATGAGTCTGGTGGTTTTGCAGCTTGAGCGTTGGGGGGTTTTCGGCCCAGGCCCTGGTTCTTTCATGCGTGCGCATGCCAGTGGAGGGCACCACCCACAATTGTGGGTGGGGTTTTCTTCCTCTGTGCATCTCTGTGCTGTGACATTTGGAGACATCTGGGTCTGGGGAAGGCCCTCAGCGAGGGGCCGCTCGCGGAGCACAGGCACCAATGGAGGGACCAATGGAAGTGGAGAGTGGGGCCTCGATGCACGGGGTGTTTGGTGGGCTGAATGGAGTTTTGGACCCATCACCCCTCAGGAGCGGCAGATGAACTGCATCATGGCATTGCA